AATCTCTGACGTCCCTCTCTCAAACTCTTATATCTCTCCCTCTCTCAATCGTGGTCTCTCTCAGTCCCTCACGTCTCTTTCTCTCTCTCAAACTGTCATATCTCTCTTCGTCTATCTCTCTCAATCTATCCCGTTTCTCCCTCTCTCAAACTCTCATATATCTCTTCTCTCATGTCTCTCTTTACTTCACACATGGTAAACAGATCGTTCTCTCTCTCAAATTGGAGCAAGGATGTTAGGGCATGGATCCCAAGCTCTCGCTGAAGTTATCACATTAGAATTTTGTTCCTTATCTAAATCAGGTTCCTCTTCTCACACTGATTTGCTTTGAATTTGCTTTTTTGGGGTTTACAATTGAATTGCCCGGATCATTAATCGATGACCCAGCATGCAGTCACGCTGGCCACCGCCGGACATGCCTATGCGGCAGTAGAGAATCAGCATGAGACTACACTTAGTCAGAATTGACGACTCCATCGTTCACAATATGGCCAGCCGTCAACACTGAAGCACATGGATGAACTGCCCCCTTCTACCGGAGGCTGGTGCTGGTCGCTGTTCATGACTACCACCACCAAGTTCTACGTATAGCCGTGAGCTCCACTGCTCTAGGATGGTGTTGCCATTTTCAGTCGTCGACCTTTACGTTTACGCACTGCTCCTTGCGTTTTTTTTTGAAGCCGCTTATGTTGAGCTAACTACTGTTAGGTGGGTTGCATTTGATCCAGCCACCAATCAGAGCAAGAGATCTGGAGTGCAGAGCAGGCTATGACAAGGAGCAGCTCAAGGCAGTAGACTGCACATATTGCATCATGGAGAATTTAGTCAGAAGAGAGAAGGGAATACATGTAATCAGAAGAGTAAGGCGCAGTAGCCAATCTGAGCGGAGAAGAAGACTCTGGAGGAAGGAGAATCCGTTGGGTCGTCCAAAATTTGTGATCTTGCCATGGAACTGGAAGAATGATTCCACACAGAAAAGGTAAACCCTAATTAGTCATTATTGGCAAAGTAGAAAGATGGATTGGAGAGACTGACGCTAAGTATTTATCTAGGCATGGGTTGTCTGAGCCGGTAGAGTTAAGTTTAAAACTGTGATAAAACATTGCATAATCTGAAATTAAGACAGTGGTAAAAGTTGTGGGATACGTTGCAAGCTTTTCAGTGGTAGTAATTTCGTTCGATTCTGGTTTAGGGTTTGCAAACTAAGACGAAAATCCTGATTCTGCGTTGTAGTTTTTAATAGAAACAGATTACCCTTTAGCCTATTTCCCATCAATTTCAAGGAAGAATTATATCATGCTTAAAGCAAGAAAGTTGCAGAACAATTTCGCTAGATATGATTGGTTGTATCATTTTCTCAGTTTGGAAAACATATTAGAATATGAAAAATGAACAGTATGGGATGATGCTTAAAACCGTGTGTCAGTGAGTAAGGAAAAGTTAGTTGTTTTAGATGGTTCGGCAATGGAGGAATATAGGGTTCATGTGTGCCATGTTCAAGGTGACAATTATTAAAAAAAACAGGTTGCTGCTTACTCGCAGATGTAGGAAGAAGGCTATAGCAAAGACAAGTATATACATTAAAAGAAAGTACATGCCCTAACATATGTATGTATCGATTGCTCCAGAGGGCCTCGCAGTAGGTACAAGTTTGTCATGGCGTACGTGCTGGAGTAGAAATCAATACATTATATGTAGTCTGTAAGATTCACCTTCTCAACTGCAAACAGGAAAAACAAACCAAGTGTTCCAATTGACTACGCCCATGATGAGAGGAACTGGTAACATTTAAAAATTGCACTCTATGAGTCCCAATACTATTTAAAGTTTCTAATCGTTTTAAGTTTCTTACTATTAAACTTGATCATTATTTTTTGCTCGAGCATGCAAACACAACAAGTTCAAAAAGTAATACTCTGAACATATTTCATGTGAAAAATCTAATGAAACAAATTTCACGCAAGCCATCAACCAAAATCTTTTTTGGAGTCATTGTGAAATGTATTATGATATCAGACTTTCAAATCTACTTCAGAATGGATCAAGGGTTACTTTCTAGCTCCGCCGTAAGAAAATTCTACCTACTACACATAAAGCTGTACCAAGCAAAGGGATAGCAATCTATTTGATGGAAGTCTATAGGGGTACACGTTCAGACACAATTAGGGAAAACCTTCGGTAGAAAAGGTAATTCTTATTTGCAAGCACGAGTTTGTACCATGATCTAGAGAAGATATAGTAGAAAGCGTGAGGTAACTTTAAGCACTCTCGAAGTCATCAAAGGGACCAATAGGCTAAAATGCGAGTAGCTACTAAATATTTATTTGGCATAATTTGATACATTACATGCATTAAACATTCTAATATGAACCTTCCGTGCTTTGGAGTTGTGCATATTAAAAATAATCCAACTATACAATCGGGTTGTCATATATTTCTTCATACAATATTACTCCAGGATATAATAATTCCAAGAAGAAACAAAATAATGTCTTTATATTCAAATTTATGCGAGACTTTTTTTACATAGACAACACCACTTTATTATATTTATAGGTTCTTCCTGACATACATCGTGGTATAATTATAAAAAACATTCTCCTTTGCAGGTCAAATATTAGCAAAAGTATTATTGATTTCTAACTAAAATATACCAACACAAGTTATACGGAGACATAATTTGGCCAGTTCTTATGATTCAAGGTTGTCAACGAGAATCTAAGAATGATTTATACAACAAAAGGTTCTCTATGTTAATTATTAATGCTATGGCATGTATTGTTATCTTTCTAATTTTGGGCTCATCCATTACAGTGAGGATCGGAAAATGAAATTTCATCTAATATCAATCACCATTGTCCTTAGAATATGTATTGTGAAGATTTTGTAAATATATAATTTCTATAGCCCGTGCGAACGCACGGGTAGACGACTAGTTGTCATAGTGCTTAGGCGAAGTCCTGTGCGGATCACTTCACCATCACTGTCACCACGCCATCGTGTTGACGAAATTCTCCCTCGACAATTTGTTGGATCAAGAGTTCGAGGGACGTCATTGAGCTAAACGTGTGCAGAACTCGGAGGCGGTACGTTCGGTGCTTGATCGGTCGGAACGAGAAGAAGTTTGACTACATCAACCACGTTGTCAAAATGATTCTGCTTTTGGTCTACGAGGGTACATGGACACACTCTTCCCGTCTTGTTGCTATACATCTCCTAGATAGATCTTGCGTGAGCGCAAGATTTTTTTTGAAATTGCATGCTACGTTCCCCAACAGTGGCATCCGAGCCAGGTCTATACTTACCACCAATGTCTTATTTCGATTCGGCAGTATTGTTGGATGAAGCGCCCGTACCAACCTTACATGAGCACGTTCATGAGACCTGTTTCACCGACAGACATGCAACTAGTTTTGCATAAAGGTGGCTGTCGGGTGTCTGTTTCTCCCACTTTCGTTGAATCGAATTTGACTGCGGCCGATCCTTGTTGAAGGCTAAAACAACAAACTTGATAAATCACCGTTGTGGTTTTGATGCGTAGTTAAGAACGTTTCTTGCTAGAAGCCCGTAGCAGCCACGTAAAACTTGCAACATCAAAGTAGATGACGTCTAACTTGTTTTTGTAGGGCATGTTGTGATGTGATATGGTCAAAACATGATGTGATATACGTTATTGTATGAGATGATCATGTTTTGTAAAAGTTATCGGCAACTGGCAGTTGCCTTATGGTTGTCGCTTTATTGTATGAAATGCAAATGCCATATAATTGCTTTACTTTATCACTATGCGTTAGCGATAGTTGTAGAATCAATTTTGAAAAAAAAGTTCATCGGATTTGAACAAAGTTACTCATATTTGGAAAAAGTTCATCAATTTTTAAAAAGGTTCATCGAATTTGGAAAAAAGTTCATCGATTTTGTTAAATACGTGAAAGAGAAAAAAATGATTGATTTTGAAAAAGAACATGATAAAAAAACGCATTTAAGAAATAAAGGAAAAGAACAAAAGAAAACCGAGTAAAATCGTACCTGAAAATGACCAACGAACCAAAAGACGGTTTAGGGAAGGTTCTGGAAGCTTCCCAAACGGAGGAGTTACCGCGATATTTTGTGGCCTGATGGTTGCCGTGCTAATTTACTAGAGCAGATCTTGAGTTTGATTTCGTGCGGACGCACATTTTTTGAACCTTTAGAAAAAATATAAAAGCAGATACATGGACCGGCCCAGTCGCATCAGAGGGATGTGGGCTGCAGGCGCCGGTTTGCACGAAACAGTTATAACCGGCGCTTGCAGTGCCAAATAGGGATTGCCAGGAAATTGATCTGATATATATGATTGTTTTCCTTTTTCTCATCGTCAAGAGAGACGTGCAACGTTCGTGACTTTTTTTTACTTTGTTCCATAGCGTTTGTTTGTTTGCTTTCCTTATTACATGTGGTTGATTTATTTTTAAATCCCAGCCATTAATTTTTATGGTTAACATAAAATCGATGGATATAAACAGATGATGGATGGACAACTATGAAAGCCTCCGTTCTTTATTATTATATTATGTAAAGATAAGGATTGACACGTAGATGGTAGTAGCCTGTTGGCTAAACGGGTGGTTGCAATTGTTTGCGCTGTTACATTGACCTCGGCTCTTCATACTTGAAAATATTCACGCATAGAGATAACTCGGGAGATAGATAAGTTCAACACATCAGAATAACATACTAACAATGGTATATTAAAAAAATACTGACAATCGGATTTCAAGAGCCAATTTAAAAGAGAGGTTCCACAACGAGTGATAGATGTCATTATTGTAAGACTTTGAAGAAAGAAAGACGAATGGGCCCCAAAAAATCTAGAATTACATAGCAAAATGAAAAAATTGTGGAAAACCATGCATATTGATGCCACAACACATTTATCATTATATTTATAGTAATAACTATTAATAGTACAATTTATTTCTCATCGACATATTTTCTGCCATATAAACACAAGCATCCTATTACTCGGGAAACATACGGGCTGCTACCAAGGCGGTGTTCAGTTTAACCAGCATTTCCAATTCATTGTTTTTATTGACAAGAGCCCCCACTGCAGGCATGTCAACAAGCTCAGAGATGCACTCATTGACATGATCACGTGCCATATCCATCCAACGGACTAGCTCTTTGGACCATTGCCTGCCCTCGTCACGTTGGTAATCCCTGATAATGGCATCACATATGTTGATGACACTCACCATGGTGTCATAATCCACCTCACACAAACTGAGGATGCGCATTGGCACCGTGCCCTTCTTGGTGTTTTCCAACATTTTCTTGACCTTGCTGCTGGTAGTAGTGACTCGACCCCTAAGGATGTCGACGGTGACTTGCAGCAAGTCACGGAGGTCCTTAGCCTCAGCGCTTCGATTGTCTGACTGGAGGGTCGTTAAACAGAATTCCTCTCTGACAGGATCCGCATATGCGTTGTTTAATGTGGCGTTCTTGCACGCTTCTATCATGAGGTCGGTCGCCTTGGGCTTGGCACCACCAGATCCACTGGCTTGAGCCGTCGTGGTCACGAAAAGCAACATGAAGACAATGGCGGAAAAGATGATGGTGTCCATCTGTGTTCGTGCCATATATTGTTGCAAGGCTTGTTAGAAGCGTTGAATTGTACTACAACCTAGAGAGGTGGGGATAAATGGATATAGATGGTTGTGTAGGGGGAAAATGGTTGGATATGATGTATGAGAGGTTGAGATTTATTTATAATGTGTATAGTGGGGTTCATAAATGCAGTATGGAGCTTGGTCATGGATATTCCTATTATTATTGTCTAATCTGTGCACAAATATTTGAGTGCTCAGTTTTGATCTCCTTTTTAATGATAGATGGATATGATGTATGGGAGGTTGATGTTTATTTATAATGCGTATAGTTGGGTTTCATAAATGAAGTTTGCAAGTTGAGTCATGGATATGCATATGATTAGTGTCAAATCTATATACAAATATGTATATACTCAATTTGGATATCCTTTATTAATGATGTTGATACTACACATCTGACTTCCACCATTTCGTTAATGCAACATATCTTGATCATGGATATCCAAAAGAATAGTGTCCAGTGAATGCAAAAAGATATGTTGATACTCAGTTTGTATCCCCTCGCATTGATATGTCAAATCTAGATTGATGTGTTCTATACATACTTTGGTAACCGATTTGATATTTCTACATGGCTTTCAGGATTGATCAAGTTGCCCCTCATCAAGTCATTGATTCTGCAACACATTGTTGCAACTTCTGAGTTTCAAAAATATATGCACAAAACTTTCAAATAGTTTCTCAATTTCAATTTACTCGTGTAACTTTCAAACAAATTATCAATATGTACTAGGTTGGAAATAATTATTCCTAAATCAACTATTATAAAGAGGATAGACCTTTACAATAAATCTATTTCTAAAAATCAAAGTCAATTTTTAAGCATTAAAAGTTGCCTTGAAGACAAAGGGCATATCCTACACTTTTCTATTCATCAAATGAACACTGTCAAACATCCATGGACGCACGTCCGAACAAGTTCGCGGACAACCGGGAGGGTGCTAGAGCACGGACACGTTCGCCACCTCCCCCCTATTTTTTTGTACTCGGTCAATTTTCTTTGATGCTCAAGATTCAATAATTAACAATTTCCAAATAAAAGAAATCAAAGCATCTGCAGTGGTTGTTCAACAAGTTTGATAATATGAGCCCTCAAAACAAGCAACCTAACCAAATGAATCACGTAGCATCAAACAAGCAACTACACATTCACGATCTATTGTCTCCACCTTTGCATATTCTGTTAAGCTCTTCTTCAAAGAATTCCACATTTTTTTGTCAGACCTATGAGCATTAGTGACATGTTAGTCTCCAAGACTTAGGATATGAAGGTCATCAGTAAGCAAACAATCGACTGTAGGTTCCACAAAATATACCTTCGCACTCAAGATTAGATTGCACTCACAAATTCATCTAATGGTAAATTGGAAAAATGTTTTTTTTCCAAACACCTGCAGATCTTCAACCAAAGGGAGCATCTGTGGTGTACTTTCTCGCACTGGGTAATTACGAATATTTAACATCTTGAGCTAAGGGAATGCTACATCTGTTACTTCTCCTGCAACCTGCTACCTCTTGAGCATGCGTTGGTTTTCCCTTGAACAAGAAAGGGTGATGCAGCAAAGTAGCGTAATTATTTCCCTCAGTTTTTGAGAACCAAGGTATCAATCCAGTAGAAGACTACACACAAATCTCCTAGTACATGCACAAACAATCAAGAACCTTGCAACCAATGCGATAAAGGGGTTGTCAATCCCTTCACGGCCACTTGCAAAAGTGAGACCTGATAAAGATAATAAGATAAATATTTTTGGTATTTTTGTTGTATAGATTGGAAAAGTAAAGATTGAAAATAAATAGTAAACTAGAATTGTAGATCGGAAACTTATATGATGTAAAGTAGACTCGGGGGCCATAGGTTTCACTAGTGGCTTCTTTCAATATATCATATATTACGGTGGGTGAACAAATTACTGCTGAGCAATTGATAGAAAAGCGCATAGTTATGAGAATATCTAGGAATGATCATGAACATAGGCATCACGTCCGTGACAAGTAGACTGAAACGATTCTGCATGTACTACTATTACTCCACACATCGACCGCTATCAAGCATGCATCTAGAGTATTAAGTTCATAAGAACAGAGTAACGCATTAGGCAAGATGAGATGATGTAGAGGGATAAACTCAAGCAATATGATATAAACCCCATCTTTTTATCCTCGATGGCAACAATACAACACATGTCGTTTCCCTTTCTGTCACTGGGATCGAGCACCCCAAGATTGAACCCGAAGCTAAGCACTTCTCCCATTGCAAGAAAGATCAATCTAGTAGGCCAAACTAAACCGATAATTCGAAGAGACTTGCAAAGATATTAAATCATTCATATAATAATTCAGAGAAGAACCAAATATTGTTCATAGATAATCTTGATCATAAACCCACAATTCATCGGATCTCGGCAAAAACACCACAAAAAGTTTTACATCGAATAGATCTCCAAGAAAATCGAGGAGAACTTTGTATTGAGAACCAAAGAGAGAGAACAAGCCATCTAGCTAATAACTATGGACCCGAAGGTATGTGGTAAACTACTCACACATCATCGGAGAGGCTATGATGTTGATGTAGAAGCCCTCCGTGATCGAATACCCCTCTGGAAGATCACCGAAAAAGGCCCCAAGATGGGATCTCACGGGTACAGAAGGTTGCGGCAGTGGAAAAGTGGTTTCGTGGCTCCCCTGGATGTTTTCAGGGTATAAGAGTATATATATAGGCGAAAGAAGTAGGTCGGTGGAGCTATGAGGGGCCCACGAGGGTGGGGGCGCGCCCTCCTGCCTCGTGGCCGCTTCGTTGCTTCCTTGACTTCCACTCCAAGTCTCTTGGGTTGCGTTTGTTTCAAGAAAGATCCTCGCGAAGGTTTCGTTCCATTTGATAACCTTTTCTGTGAAACACTGAAATAGGCAAAAAAAACAACAATTTGCACTAGGCCTTCGGTTAATAGGTTAGTCCCAAAAATAATATAAAAGAGCATATTAAAGCCCATTAAACATCCAAAACAGATAATATAATAGCATGGAGCAATCAAAAATTATAGATACGTTGGAGACGTATCACAACCTCATGGTGCCATCTCTGTAGCTTTGGAATGTTGCTATCTATTAGGTTTTCTAGTTTTGGGAAGAATGATTGTGGAGAAATACAGGATTCCTCACAGTTTTTATCATCATTACAAACACATATACACATCAAGCATTCCAAATGCCACTACTTGATGCAGGGAAGCTGCCATAATGGTGGGGATCCTTGCCGTTCTTGCATCTACTTGAATAACAATCAGGGAGGTGTTTGAACAGTGTAGAGTTTTGCATCCACAATGATAATTTAGCTCCAGTATAACAACATAATTAACACTAAAAATTTAATCCTTTTTTAGGGTGAAGGGCTTGTAATATTCCTTTCGCATTATTATGTACTTTATCTCCATAATTTCTTCTATAATCCCGGTACAAATCGAGTGATAATCGTTTCAACTTATGCTTTGGTGGACATATTGCCTTGTTTAACACTTTTTTGCACTACTCACCTTTATCAATTGAGTAAAAGAAAGAGCACCACCTAGACTCAAATTTTCGTGTTGATCAATTCCCATAACCCGAATCACTATCAATGACATAATTCATCAATGTGGTTGGAGAATTCAATTAACCAATACCTTGTGGCATGTGGTCCAAACAACCATAGTTAGTAAGGAAGATGTGCCGAAGACTTCTCATAAATTTCATCTCTTCTAGTAAAGGAATAAATAATGGTTGAGCCTTAGTTTTTGGAAGCTATATATGCAAGATGGTACGTAGTGGATTCAGGCAATTCAAACATACAAGAATTAGAACAATCTAGGTAGTGAAGATGCTTCAAGTTTCCCATGTGCGTTTTGATTGAGGATGACTTCAATGCTTGCGGGAACATGAATTTATATGTGACCATACGCAGCGGAGTCTTAATACAGTCCTTCTCTCATGAGACTAATATCGTGAGCGGACAGGGAGCAATAATTTCCTCCGAAGTGGCAATATTACTAACAAAATCAAGTGACAAATGTTGAACCTCATATTGAAATGAACTCCCATCAGTAGATCGTTCCACAATTTCTTGGGACGATGAAGATTCTTGCATAAGTAAGCAATTATTTCTTCTTACAGAGTCAACAAGATCATGCATGAAATCATGTACATTATGTATGATGACATCCTACCAATATCCACATCTTGTAAGAAACATCTCCAAAATAGAACATCGCAAATTTGTTGGCCTGTTGTTTCTGATGCAACGAAGACACTTTCCATCCATAGCCGGATTAATATGTGTTTATCCATCATCCTATCCTTGGGGTAAACAACACAGAAGGAGAAGCATATTTTTGCTTTCGATGGCAAGTGCTCATAGCTAGGTTGTAGAGCAGGTACAATACCATTTATGAGGACATCATTCTTCCAGACCTCACTATCTAGAATAGAAAACAAATATCTTTGATGCGTGGAACGATGTAAAGAGGCCATGGTATGCACTACTGCAGGATGGTCCAAACGCGACAGTCTAATCATAGACCTTCGACGAAACTGTGTGCCATGCATTAATCGCAAACGGTGATGTAAGAAAACCGTCAAAAAAGATGCAAAACATTTGCCATGGTGGATACATCAAACACGGTCATACTACAGTTGCGTGTGCGATGCGTGGCATACGGTTCACTCCAATGAACTATTTGTGATGAGGCATAAAAACAGAAACGGGTAGCCAGATGAAGGTGTGTGCCATATACGGCATATAGTTCACTCAGATGAACTGTTTGTGATTAGGCAACACAGTAGAAACGGTCAGCCAAATCAAGGTGTGTGCGATATACATTATACAGTTCACTCGAATGAACTGTTTGCGTTGAGCAGAGAGAACAAAAAGAGTTGAACTTAACAACATCTGTGTGGTACGTGTGCGATGTGATTGCATACAGAACAACAACATATATACTAATAAGGATATGATTCCACAATCAAATTAAACATCCAATTACATAGTTGCCTAGTACACACATGACATTTCCACACGCCAAAGTAAACTATTACATGCATAATTAATTAGGATAAACCATCATCTGATCATCATCTACTTCTTCTTGTGTCGCTTGCTGCCACTGCTCTACTAGGATAAACGGAACAATAATCTTTACTATGAATAGTGTGCTTTGTTGGGCACACAAGTATATGGATCATAGCCTTGGGTGAGCAATGTGCACACACGCGTCGTGCTAGCTCAATGTTCCTTCTGTGCTAAGTTTCCATTGATTGGTGGCGTTTTATGAACACGCCACCCTTTCCTCATTTGTTTCCCGCCGCCACCGTTACGTCTCCAACATATCTACTTTTCTCAACGCTTTTCCTCTTGTTTTGGGCTCTAATTTGCATGATTTGAATGAAACTAACCCCGGACTGATGCTGTTTTCAGCAGAACTACCATGGTGTTGTTTTTGTGCAGAAATAAAAGTTCTCAGAATGGAACGAAACTTTGCAAGGATTTTTTATATCAATAAAGAGAATTTCTGGAGGCATGAACCACCAGAGGGGGGGGGGGCACCTGGGTGGGCACAACCCGCCAGGGCGCGCCCCCTCCAAGCGCGCCTAGGTGGGTTGTCCCCACCTGGTGGCCCCGCAGACCCTAAAACCGACGCTATAAAATCCTATTTTTCCAGAAAAATCAGGGTGATGTGATGTAGAGATGTAGCAAAGAGCTGCTGAGGCTGATCATCATAGATAACTCCTCATATTCCTTTGATAGCCCTTCTGAAACCGACGTAAACTCTGTTTTGTTAGCGCAATCGTTGAGGGCTTTGGTTGTTTTCGCAATGCAATCAGGCATGTCGTAGGGTGTCGGACCTTCATTGCCTTTACGAACCTCAAAGTTCTGGATGATATCATGGCAGATTTCGAGGGTGCTCACCATGCCACTGTAGTCCACTCGGTAGAACCCAAGGGCGCGAGTCGCGAGCTTGTCCTTGGTGGCACCATGGATCAAGTTATCAACCTTGGCCATCACGGCCGTGGCTTGGGGCTTCATGGCGTCGACGGCCACGAGAGCTAGGATGCGGCAGTCCTTCGCGTCGGTGCTTCGTTTGTCTGACTGGAGCATTGATACACAAAAGTCATATGTGGAGCGCACCTTGAAGAAGTCACTCGAGACATTCTTGCATGCTTCCAACATGATGCCTGACGACATGGGCTTGGTGTCGGAAGCTTGAACGGTGATGGCCATGGAAAGGAGAATGATGACAATTCCAGTGAATGCTAAGGAGGTGGTTTGCACCGTTTCCATTGCTGCCAGGCTTGCTAGAAAATTATACTGTAACTGAGGGAGATGATGAATGGATCAAATGGAACTGCAGTGCAGAGATGGATGGGTTGAGGCGGAGTACATAGCTATGATTATGGCTTATATATACTATATAGTGCACTGAGTAGGGGTTTCCAAATGCAATATGCCCCATGAATATCCAAATGACCAATGTTTAACTCTTTGCACATATACCTCGATGGAGAATTGGATTTCCTCCTATTTAATCATGGGCAGTATTATTTAATATAGTGTCTCCTGGATGCCATTTTTAATGTAAACTTAAAGGTGTTCCGGGTTAATAATGATGCATGTGTATCATATATATCCATCGTGCAAGCGTATCCTAATGGGTGTAAGCAATTAAATGTATTTAGGAAGGGGCGTGGGTTGCAAATTATCTTAAATTTTACCGATTAACATGGTAATTTCTAGGTAGTGGCTAATTAGCAGAAGTATAGATATATATAGATAGAGATATAGAGATAGAGGTCAAGATAGATAGATAGATAGATAGATAGGGAGATAGGTGTAGATATAGATATATAGTATACATATAGACGAAAATCTGCATATCCTAAATGGGTGTAAGCAATTACATGTATTTACAAAGGGGCGTGGGTTTCCAATTATCTTGAATTTTACCGATTAACATGGTAATTTCTAGGGAGTGCCTAATTAGTACTTCCCGTCCCAAAATAAGTGTCTCAACTTTGTATTAACTTTAGTACGAACTTGTACTAAGCTTGAGATACTTATTTTGGGACGGAGGGAGTAGAAGTATAGGTATAGATAGATAGAGATATAGATATAAAGATAGATAGATAGATAGATAGGTGTACATATAAATATACATATATAGTATACATATAGATAGGTATAGATATAGATATAGAGATAGAGATAGAGATAGAGATACGGATGAAGATAGAGATAGATATAGATAGATAGATAGACGTAGAAGATAGATAGATTATCAAGTGCAAAATGCGCATAATCTTCCTTTAATGTCCCAAATCCATTTTACGATATGGGGAAATAAAGTGAGATTCACTCTAGAAATACATAAAACAAGAACACACTCATGCCACACGTATTAATACTAGCACACCCAAAATATGGATCTACATATTGTTGGAATTTTGCTAGTAGGCCTTTGGCCCAAAGCCCAACTAAAATTCTAAAATTCTCTTGGCCCATTCATGCGCACATGTGAGTGGAGTGAGTGAGACTAAAGTTTAGTCCCACCCCGGAAGTTGAGAGAGAGTTGCACCTCTTTATAAAGTGAGCTATTCTATCACTTGTATGAGCATGAGAAGTGGAGACCTACACGCGCGCTCCTCCTCCTCGCTCGCCTCGCCACGCCTCGTCGCGCCGCGCCGCGGGTTGCGGGATTGAGCCGAGCCGAGGACAGAGCTATGCATGTTGTCCCATGACCTACCCGGGGTTAGTTTAATCTCTGCTATTGCTGTCATGATCTATTTCCTATTTATTCGGATTAAATCTCGTAGTAATTTGCTCATTTCTCCAACAATCCAAAACCTGATTATAGGCAATTTACTCCGAGTGGTTTTGCTGTGCATCTGAAGCTGCCTGCCTTTAAGGGGGCGCAATATAAGAGGTGGCGCACGAGAGCAGTCTACTGGTTTCAGACCATGGGCTGCAATGACGCCACCAAGGGCAAGCCTGAGGGAGATCTTAATCCAGCACAGTTGGAAGCTTTTGAGAAGATCGATACCCTCTTTAAAGGCGCTCTTCTGAGTGTTCTTGATGACTCCATTGTGGATTCGTATATGTCATTTGACAACGGCAAGGACATGTGGGCTGCGCTCGAGGCCAAGTTTGGTGCCTCGGACGCCGGCAGCGAGTTGTATGTCATGGAGCAATTCTATGACTACAAGATGACTGATGAGCGCCCTGTTGTACAGCAGGCTCATGAGATACAGTCGCTCGCAAAAGAACTTGATTACTTCAAGTGTGTGTTGCTGGACAAATTTGTTGCCGGAGGCATCATTGCCAAGCTTCCACCTTCGTGGAACAATTTTGCTACTTCCGTGAAACACAATAGACAGGAGTTTTCCGTTGCGGATCTCATTGGTACTCTTGATGTTGAAGAGAAGGCGAGAGCAAAGGACACACGTGCTCGAGTTGCTGAGGGAGGTTCTAGTACCCACATGCTACAGAAGAAGAACTTCCAGCCCAACAAGTTCAAAAACAACAAGAACAAAACTCAGGGCAAATGCAAGTTTGATACAAAGAACAAGCCATCACATTCTACCAACTTCAAGAAGAATTCTCATAAGAAGGGGAAGGGACTTTGCCATGTTTGTGGTGATCCTAATCACTAGGCTCCGAAGTGTCCTAACCGTTTTGAGGAGCGCGAACATGACAAGAGCGGCAAGTCCGCTAATGTTGTCATCGGTGATACTGATATGAAGGAATCAGGGTACGGTATTTTTCCTACCATCCTTTCAGTATTTCAATCCCCTGATTGGTTAATTGACACCGGTGCCAATGTACATGTTTGTGTTGACGCCTCCATGTTTTCTTCTTACCAGGCCACTGGGACTTCTCCCATGCTGATGGGGAATGGGTCACATGCCATCATTCGAGGTGTTGGTACAGTCGATCTGAAGTTTACTTCGGGGAAGATCGTGCGTCTGAAGAACGTTCATCATGTGTCGTCCATCAATAAAAATCTCGTTAGCGGTTCCCGTTTATGTCGAGATGGTTTTAAGTTGGTTTTCGAATCAAATAAAGTTGTAATTTCTAAGTATGGACAATTTGTTGGAAAAGGCTATGAGAGCGGAGGCTTGTTCCGCCTGTCTTTGTCAGATATTTGCACTAAAGTTATTAATAATGTTTGCGACAACAATGAGTCGGATATTTGGCATTCACGACTTTGTCACATTAACTTTGGTTGCATGACGCGGCTAGCCAATATGAATTTAATTCTGAAAATCTCTACTGTCCAGGCTCTAAGTGCCAAGTATGTGTGCAAGCTAAGCAACCTCGCAAGTCCCATAAGACTACAGAGGCAAGAGACTTGGCGCCACTAGAGTTTATACATTCTGATCTTTGTGAGATGAATGGCGTGTTGACAAAAGGTGGAAAGAGATACTTCATGACATTGATTGAGGACTCCACTAGATATTGTTATGTGTATCTTCTGAAATCAAAAGAGGAGGCTTTTACTTTCTTCAAAAACTATAAAGCTGAGGCAGAGAACCAACTTGATCGAAAAATTAAACGGCTTAGGTCTGATCGTGGTGGAGAGTATTTTTCCAACAAATTTGATCTGTTTTGTGCGAAACATGGTATAATCCATGAGAGGACGCCTCCCTACTCACCCCAGTCAAATGGGGTAGCCGAAAGAAAGAATCGAACTCTAACTGATATGGTTAACACAATGTTAGACACTTCGGGTCTATCCAAGGAATGGTGGGGGGAGGCGCTAATTACTGTGTGTCATGTCGTAAACCGAGTTCCCACAAAGCATAAGACCATGACTCCATTTGTGGAATGGGAAAGGAAAAGGTTGAAACTCTCTTACCTATGTACTTGGGGTTGTTTGGCGAAAGTCAATATACCAATTCCCAAGAAGCGCAAGGTTGGACCAAAAACCGTTGATTGTGTTCTTCTGGGCTATGCTTTTCATAGCATCGGCTATAGATTTTTGATAATAAAATTTGAGGTATCCGACATGCATGTTGGTATGATTATGGAGTCGAATGATGCAACTTTCTTTGAGGACATATTTCCTATGAAGGATATGTCGAGTTCATCAAATCAGGAGATACCTACTCCATCTAGTGAGGAGTTCACTGTAATTCCTAAACCCACCATTGCGATGGAACACGTTGAGAATCCTGTTGAGGGTGAAAATGGAACTCCTGTGAGGAGTAAGATACAGAGGACTGCAAAGTCCTTTGGTGATGATTTCATTGTGTACCTCGTGGATGACACACCCAGGACTATTTCAGAGGCCTATGCATCTCCTGATGCTGACTACTGGAAGGAAGCTGTACGTAGCGAGATGGATTCCATCTTAGCTAATGGAACCTGGGAGATCACTGACCGTCCTTATGGGTGCAAACCTGTAGGATGTAAGTGGGTGTCCAAGAAGAAGCTTAGACCTGATGGTACGATTGAAAAGTACAAGGCATGGCTTGTGGCTAAGGGTTATACCCAGAAAGAAGGTGAAGAATTCTTTGATACTTACTCACCCGTGGCTAGACTGACCACAATTCGGGTGCTACTATCACTGGCTGCCTCACATGGTCTTCTCGTTCATCAAATGGACGTCAAGACGGCTTTCCTCAATGGAGATTTGAAGGAGGAAATTTCCATGGATCAGCCAGATGGTTTTGTAGTACCTGGTCAGGAAGGAAAGGTGTGCAAGTTATTAAAGTCTTTATATGGCCTTAAACAAGCTCCTAAGGAGTGGCATGAGAAGTTCGAAAGGACATTAACTGCTGTCGGCTTTGTAGTAAACGACACTACTAGGAAAAGGCCTACTAATGGGGCACCAGTTTTGCCTACTAATGGCGCATCACTGGTGCGCCATTAGTATCACGCCACTAGTATTTATTACTAATGGCGCACCACTAGTGCGCCATTAGTATCTGGTATACTAATGGCGCACCACGCAGTGCGCCATTAGTATAGGACACCATGCGTTAGTATGCCTCCGAGGGGGCCATATTTAACCATGTGCTTTGGCATACTAATGGCACACTATGGGTCGATGCGCCATTAGTATACTTGGCACACTAATGGCGCACTCTCTAGTGATGCGCCATTAGTATCCTTTGGCATACAAATGGCGCACCTTGAGGTGATGCGCCATTAGTATGAATATTAGGTTTTTTTTACTTTTCTGATTTTTGCACAGGTTACAAAATATATTATTGGACAGAATATAGACAGCAGCACACAGCAACAGCAGATTCATCGAATACAATAGAAGATTAGTCTCCGAA